TCGCCTCAGCCAGGCATTGGTCCAGCCACAGGGCTAGTGTTTTCCCAGGAGACACAGGCCATGGGGTGCTGGCAACTCCCCTAAACTGTGGGGAGAGAAGCTGGGTCCTTGTTCAGTAGCCGGGCCTGGGCGAGCTCCACTCACAGTTCACTTGCAGCCGTGTCCTTAGAATCCAAGGGCCCTCCCAGCACAGGATCCTCTGGGCCGGTCCCCTCAGATCATCACCACAGGGCCAGCTCCCGGCAGAAAGCTGAGGGGCAGCATGTGCTTCCAGTGGCTCAGAAAGAGGGGATGGGACATGCCTGTCTGGAGCTGGAGAAGCTGCTCAGGGTCCCTCCAGGGAGGGTGTGATGAGCAGAATCATGGACTCCCTTCCTGGGCCTTCTTTTCCAGAGCTTTCCTAGGCTTCACTAAAGACCAGGAGAGGAATGGCCGGGCAGACTCAGGGCACAGAGTGGGGACCCTTCCCTTTTCTCCCTCTCCTCCACTCTCACCCCTCAGACACTGCATCCCTAATAGCGCACCCACCACCCCTGCCCACCTGCCACCCCTTCCATGTGCTCCCCCTGCCCAAGACTCCAGTTTCAAAATAAATGACTAAATGTTGGCTAAATGGGAGGGAGGAGAGGAAGAATGAAGTGGTAGAAAGAAAAGGAATATATTCCACTTACTTTATGAGCAAATGGCTCTCCCCAGCACCCTGCCCCATTAATTTTGCTGTTAATATTTGCCGCTCTGCTAAGGGAATCACCTTAAGTACTTAGTCCACTCCTGACACTTAATAAGTGCTCACTAAACAGGAAGTATTATTGGTTCCTTTTTCTCCTCTTTTTCCTGGGGTTTCCCCTCAGCTCTTTCAGCCCCAGCCCCTCTCTGGATAGACCTCACAGAATCAGCAGCTCAACCTGGGAGAGGCCAGAGGCTGCGAAGCCGGAATGACTGCATTCATGCCCATTCCTAGCGCTGGCCCAGGCTTCAGTATTCATGGCTCGTGCCTGTGTCTCACAGGTGTGCGCCGAGGACCAGATGCGCCTGTCCGCCTGTGAAGCCCTCCGTGGAGGGCCTGGAACAGAAGTCTCTTCTTTCTCCTCTCCTGGTGTCCCAAAGCATCTTGTCTCTGCTGTGGGCTTGGCTCCCCCTGCTGGAACCTTTCCTACCTGCCCAGGTATCCTATGGAGAGCTGGCAACAGTCCTAGAGACACAGGTGAACTAGGGCAGGAAGGTCCAGAGAGGCCCTTCAGGTCAGAGGGAGAACCAGAGATGGGAAGTGGCTTTCTCAAGGTCACACAGTGGCTCGGGTGCAGCCACAGTGGGCACTGGAGCCTCTGACTCTCCTGAGCTACTTAACCGTCAGGTGCTGCCTGCCCATTTCCCTGAGCTGGCCCCCTTGTTGGCCAAGGCTGCTTCTGTGCTCTGAGCTTCTGACAGAAATCTTACAACAGCAGTGACAGCAACAACATTAACCATAGCAGCCACCATGGATTGAGCTCTTATTCTGTGCCAGACACGCAGGCCGCTTGACCCCATGTCCCCTGCGTTGGCAGAGACTGGGCCGGGCTGTTTTTAATACACATTGCTGACCCTCATAGCAACCCTGCAGGTAGGAGAGTATTAATAGCAGCTCCATTTTACAGATGAGTAAACTAAGACTTTCAGAGGTGGTCACTTTTTCAGGCCACAGTTTCACAGTGGAGGATGCACATCTGACTGCACAGCAGTCTGTTCCCTGCTGAGGGGCCTCCTGTCGATGGAAGCCACAAGCACTGTTCCTGCTCCCCCAGTGGATTTCCTGGGCTCCCACGGACCGAGGTGGGGCTGCTCCTGCCTGAGTCCTCACTGTGCTCATCTCACGGGCACATCGGCGTGGCTTAGCAGGATGGAGGGGGAGGCAAGGTATTTGAGAAGGGGATGGTTGAATAAACACGCCTGTGACCCCAGACTTACTTCTGCAGGGATGATACTGCTAATGAGCTGAGTGAACTTTAGGATGTGGCTAAGACTGTGATAGGAATGTGCATGCTGCTAATTTAATTATAATCAGGGTTTCTGGCTCTGATTTCTTTTTGCATGTGACTTTTACTGCAGAAAGCTTCTCTCATCTGGTCTCATTAAATCTCAAATTAAGCAAGAATCCCTACAGTAAGAGAGCAGCTCCAGGAGAGCAGGCCTCACTCGTTCACACTGTGTGTTCATTTGGCTGTGTTTTTTTGGGTTTGATCCCCTTTTAAGAAAATTTAAAAATAACTTTCTGCCAAAGATGTGGGCACTCAGGGTAGAGCTGCTGAGTGGACGCCCTCCTCCTGCCCGTGGTCTGCTCCTCTGATGATGTGGCCGGGCTGAAGCGGGTAGGTCACCTGCCTGTAGAAGCCCAGCCTTCCTTTCTTTAGAAAATGTATGTATGTATGTATGTATGTATGTATGTATGTATGTACGTATGTATGTATTTATTTATGGCTGCGTTGGGTCTTTGTTGCTGCGCACGGGCTTTCTCTAGTTGCGGTGAGCAGGGGCTACTCTTCGTTGCGGCGCACGGGCTTCTCATGGCAGTGGCTTCTCTTGTTGCAGAGCACGGGCTCTAGGTGCACGGGGTTCAGTAGTTGTGACACGCAGGCTGCTCGACCCCATGTCCCCTGCAATGACAGGCGAATTCGTAACCATTGCACCAGCAGGGAAGTCCGCCCAACCTTCCTCTAATGTGTCTTTCAAGAGGAAAGGCCCAGGACGCCATGGGGAATGAAGGGGTGCCTGTGGGCTCAGGGAAGAACTCAGCTGGGGGCGGGGGGTAGGAAGGAGTGGGCTGGCTTTACCTGATATCCCTTAGGAACCTGGAAACCTGGGCCCAAGTCTCTCAAGGATGCCAGCAGGGAACCCAGAGAGTGTACCCAGGGCCGGGTATGATTGCGCTCACTTCACACCCAGGCAGCCTGAGAAGCAAAGAGGGGAAAGGATTCACAAGTTACGTGCCAGCTTTAGAGCCAGGACTGGTACCCATGTGTCTGGAACCAAATGCCTACAGGCCCCAGAGAGGTAGACTGTTTATTGTTGTGACCTGTTTGTCCACTCCTTTCCCTACATCCTCTCTCTAATGTTCACATGTTTGCTCCACAACAAAATTAAGTGATACCATAGTTTGGAAGTGATTTTTTATGCTTTTTTAGCCCAACTTTCAATTTATTCATATATTCCACAAGTATTTGTCGAGAACTTACTGTGTGCTCATCTGTATTCTAGGCATTAGGGATACAGTAGTGAGTGAACCACCCAGGACCTGTGACCTAGTGGAGTGGCTTATGTTCCAGTGGGGGAGACAGATGTTAATCAAATAACCACATGACTGCATGGCGGCCAACTATGATGTATGTGATAGACACACCTTCCATGATTTTGTCCAAATTACTGTCCTTAGTTCTGTCCAATTCAAAATGACTTTCCAGTCTCTGGTGGCTCCCCAGAGACCTCTGTCTAGGAGACCTAGATCTGGAGTCACCTCTGTTACTCAGGGTGAGTAGCATTGTTTTTTTGGATTCATTTCTTCCTTTATTATCCATAAAATATTCAAATATCTACCATGTGCAAGGTCTTCCAGAGTCTGTGGTGCATATCCAGTCTTGACCAAGAACTCAGTTGCCTTAAAGGTGTACTCTTCATCAGTATCGTCACATCTCTCCGGTCCACATATGTTCAACCATTCCCCTTGGAAAAACAGATGGAATCAAATTAGGTATTGATTCACCCTCTCTCCCACCTGCCCCTCAAAGCCTCACACCACTACTCCTATAAAACCACTATTCCCCTTCCACTTGTGTGCTTTGCAGAGGACAGAAGAACAGATGGTGATGGGGAGAGCAGGAGATAGGGTAGAGCAATGGTTCTCAAAGTGGGCCCTGGGGACCCTGGGACTCTTTCATGGGCCCAGGAGGTCTAAATAATTTTTGTAATAAGATGTCATTTGCTTTTTATAATAAGATGTCATTGCTTTTTTCACTCTCCTTTTCTCTCAGACGGAGTTTTCCAGCAGGTACGGACACCGTGATGCCACAACCAACTGGATGCAGAAGCACATATGAAAGTCTAGCTGTCTTCTATTAAGCCAGACATTAAATAAATTTGCAAAAACAAACAACTCTTCTTACTAAACTTTGTTTTCGGTTTTGTTTCAGAAAGTGTATTTTTCTTTTAAAAGTGTTACTTCTGTTAACCTAATGGGCTTATTATTGATGTTTTAAATGAACTACTATTTCTTAGTTTTAATACAATAAAAATTTAATTTAATACAGTAAAATATTGATAGCAGCAATTCACACACAAAAGCTCTTTGGGATCTTCAATAATTTTAGGAGTATGAAGGGACCCTGAGACCAAAATGTTTGAGAACTGCTGAGCTAGTGGCTAAGGGGTCAGCTAGGTGTTAGGAGAAGGCCAGTTACTCAAGAATCAGACATGAGCCAGTAGAAAAGCTTAAATCCACATCATTTCTGATTTGGACATCTGCAGTCTGTCCCAAGGTGTGAGTTGCATAGGATGAGAGGTTCCTTTGGAACTATGGAAATACCTTCTGTCCCCTGGAGGAGAAGGACTGGACTGGGCATCACCTTGCTACCATATTTTAGAAGTATGCGCCAGGGACCACTCCTGAAGCTCTCCAGGGGTCAGGACCCACGCTGCTAGGTCCTGTTCTCAACACCGTGAACACAGTCTGTGGAGCATGGTTCAAATCTCAGCCCAGATTCCTTAAGACAGGAGCACAGGAGTCCCCCATCCATCTGCTCTCTGAGCTTGCTCCCACTCCGGGGATCATAAACAGGGCTTCTTCAGCTCAAGGAGGAGGGAGCTGGGTCTCAGGAGGCAAGGGTCCCACGAGCCCTGGGTGGTAATCCCAGGCCACATGTGCCTAGGGATGGGTAGTGTTCCAGGCCAGATGTGGAGTTGGGGGGGGTGCCCAGCCCCTCCAAGGACTCAGCTCTCAGCTTGACAGTGTCTTTCCTTTGCTCCACACTCAGATTGGAACCTGCAGCTCTGAACAAGTAAAAACCTGTGAGCTTCCATCCCTGGTTTCCCCGGGACTCCACTCAGAGCCTCTGCAGCTGGCAGCCAGGGGTTTCAAAGGTCACCCTAGCCGGGAGGATTGGAACCACACATCCCTCTGACCGGGTGAAGTTGGCTGCTCCGTGCAAGGCAAGTTGCAACATCTGTGAGCAGTCAGACGAACGCCCCTTAACTTTTCAGTCTGGCACTGGGCTCTGCTACATCTCTGGCTCTCCTTCACTGTCTTCCTTCTCGGACAGACCTTGGACAGCCATCTCTGCAGTACAGTGGTAAAGCGTGGCTGTCCACGCGTCCCAACTCGTGGGAGAGCTGCCCGGGGAAGAGGTCACGGTAAGGCGTGTCCATTCTCTGGTGTGTGACCCTGCCGCACTGCCTGCTCCGGTGGGTCACAGCAAGTCAGCAGGCACAGCCCACAGCCAAGGAGCAGTTCGTTCCAGGATTAGGAGAGATTAGGGAATTTGTCAGGATTTGAATGCTCTGAAGAGAGAGGATTAAGGTGGGGAGAGGAAGCTGTCATTGCCTAGGGCATTTGCACCTCAGGTGGTTTGCTGTGTTTGCTGTGTGCCTGTGGCTCCGGGGGTTCATGGCTGTCGGCCAGGCTTCCAGTGCAGAGCCCACTGGGAGCCCTTCCCTGTAGGGAAGGTATGGTATCTCCAGGATGCCTTGCTGCCGGATCAGGTGCTTAAGGACTACGATCATTTAAAATGTATGCACTTTGGGTAGGGAAGGGGGCAGCTGGTTGCTCTAAACTTGTTCTGCTGTGTAACTTGATTCTTGATTTTAAACTTTTCTCTGAGTCTTTTTGCCTCAGTCTTTTTGCCCTCTCTCGGCCATAGTTGAAAGTGTTCCTTTCTGGGTTCAGGAGACAATTGAAAGTGCTTTTGATCGAATTAAAGTCAAATTAATTTAGTGCTGCTTTGAAGGATTAATAAATTCTGCTACTTGTGAAAACCTTATTTGGAGGTGAGCTTTGGCCCAAGCATTGTGTGTATATGGTGGCGTGTGGCTTCCAGCCCTCAGACCACTGCTCTTCTGATCCCCTCCTCCGTCTTTTTTTCTCTTCTTACTTCTGTCTCTTCTTCTTTTTTTCTTTTTACATCTTTATTGGAGTATAATTACTTTACAGGGGTGTGTTAGTTTCTGCTTTATAACAAAGTGAATCAGTTATACATATGTCCCCATATCTCTTCCCTCTTGCATCTCCCTCCCTCTCACCCTCCCTATCCCACCCCTCTAGGTGGTCACAAACCACCGAGCTGATCTCCCTGTGCTATGCGGCTGCTTCCCACTAGCTATCTACCTTACGTTTGGTAGTGTATATATGTCCATGCCTCTCTCTCGCTTTGTCACAGCTCACCCTTCCCCCTCCCCATATCCTCAAGTCCATTCTCTAGTAGGTCTGTGTCTTTATTCCCATCTTACCCCTAGGTTCTTCATGACATTTTTTTTCTTAGATTCCATATATATGTGTTAGCATACGGTATTTGTCTTTCTCTTTCTGACTTACTTCACTCTGTATGACAGACTCTAGGTCCATCCACCTCACTACAAATAACTCAATTTCGTTTCTTTTTATGGCTGAGTAATATTCCATTGTATATATGTGCCACATCTTCTTTATCCATTCGTCCGATGATGGACATTTAGATTGCTTCCATGTCCTGGCTATTGTAAATAGAGCTGCAATGAACATTTTGGTACATGACTTTTTGAATTATGGTTTTCTCAGGGTATATGCCCAGTAGTGGGATTGCTGGGACATATGGTAGTTCTATTTGTAGTTTTTTTAAGGAACCTCCATACTGTTCTCCATAGTGGCTGTACTAATTCACATTCCCACCAGCAGTGCAAGAGTGTTCCCTTTTCTCCACACCCTATCCAGCGTTTATTGTTTCTAGATTTTTTGATGATGACCATTCTGACTGGTGTGAGATGATATCTCATTGTAGTTTTGATGTGCATTTCTCTAATGATTAATGATGTTGAGCATTCTTTCATGTGTTTGTTGGCAGTCTGTATATCTTCTTTGGAGAAATGTCAATTTAGGTCTTCTGCCCATTTTTGGATTGGGTTGTTTGTTTTATTGTTATTGAGCTGCATGAGCTGCTTGTAAATTTTGGAGATTAATCCTTTGTCAGTTGCTTCATTTGCAAATATTTTCTCCCATTCTGAGGGTTGTCTTTTGGTCTTGTTTATGATTTCCTTTGCTGTGCAAAAGCTTTGAAGTTTCATTAGGTCCCATTTGTTTATTTTTGCTTTTATTTCCATTTCTCTAGGAGGTGGGTCAAAAAGGATCTTGCTGTGATTTATGTCATAGAGTGTTCTGCCTATGTTTTCCTCTAAGAGTTTGATAGTTTCTGGCCTTACATTTAGGTCTTTAATCCATTTTGAGCTTATTTTTGTGTATGGTGTTAGGGAGTGTTCTAATCTCATACTTTTACATGTACCAGTCCAGTTTTCCCAGCACCACTTATTGAAGAGGCTGTCCTTTCTCCACTGTACATTCCTGCCTCCTTTATCAAAGATAAGGTGACCATATGTGCGTGGGTTTATCTCTGGGCTTTCTATCCTGTTCCATTGAGCTATCTTTCTGTTTTTGTGCCAGTACCATACTGTCTTGATTACTGTAGCTTTGTAGTATAGTCTGAAGTCAGGGAGCCCGATTTCTCCAGCTCCGTTTTTCGTTCTCAAGATTGCTTTGGCTATTCGGGGTCTTTTGTGTTTCCATACAAATTGTGAAATTTTTTGTTCTAGTTCTGTGAAAAATGCCAGTGGTAGTTTGATAGGGATTGCATTGAATCTGTAGATTGCTTTGGGTAGTATAGTCATTTTCACAATGTTGATTCTTCCAATCCAAGAATATGGTATATCTCTCCATCTATTTGTATCATCTTTAATTTCTTTCATCAGTGTCTTATAATTTTCTGCATACAAGTCTTTTGTCTCCTTAGGTAGGTTTATTCCTAGATATTTCATTCTTTTTGTTGCAGTGGTAAAGCAGGATACAAAATTAATGCACAGAAATCTCTGGCATTCCTATACACTAATGATGAAAAATCTGAAAGTGAAATTAAGAAAACACTCCCATTTACCTTCTGTCACTTATTGATCTGCGTTTAACTGGTGCTGAACAAAACCCCGTGGGTAGGTGTATTTGACTCCAGCCACTGAGTACTGCTCTGCCGATAGAGAAATTATTGCAGAAGCCACCCAGGCCCTCTGGTGCTCTCGACTGGAATGTGGTCAACGGGCTGGATGAGGGGTTAGAAGGGAACAAGGATGGTTTGGTTTGATTTATAATTATTATAATAATTAGTATTGGTAGAGCATTCCAGATATGCCAGTAACCATTAATTGGCAGTGTGGACGGAATATGTTTATGCGGCTGATGGCAGTGGGCCGGGTGATGGGCCGAGCAGAGCTGTTTGGTGTGCCTGGCCAGCCTGGGACTGGGCTCTGGTTCTGCCTGTGTGGTGGTTAATAACTGCCCTACCCACCCTCCCCCACCCCTCACAGGGCACTTGCTGTATTGACTTGCCTGTTCTGTTTCTGACCTGAAGCCAGACCTTCCCTCCTGCCCAGGGATGGAAGACTTCTGTCTTCTGTGTGTATGGGGCCAAGCATGTTCCTTTTGATGATAGCATCCAGGGCCTTCGGGAGACCTCAGAAGGTCAAGATCAAGAGGATTTATAGAGAGGAGCCCGATGTCACCACTCTTAGTTTCCAGCTCCCCTGAAAGCAGAGTGGAAGAGTCTTGTGTCTTTGAAAGCCAGAAGTGAGAGCAGAAGGGGGTGTTACATTCCTCCGCCCCTCTTCCTTTATGCAACTCCCAAACCTCTGCCTATCGCATCTCCCATTACTGGGGAAGGCAGGAAATGCCTAGTCTGGGTCCGGGGGCCCTCCAGGAAGCTCACAGGATATGGCTACGATCAGAATTCAGTTTGGTTTCCACTTCTTAGCTATGTGACCTTGGACAAATGTAGTTGGTTTTCTGAGCCCTGGTGTCCTCGTTTGTGAAAGGAACATAATCAGAACTGCCTTGCAGGACCAGGAGATTGAGTGAGATTAGGGCTGAGCATGATGTCGGGTGCATGCACCCTGCCCGTTCCATGCTAGGACACACAGGACAGTGCTGCGGAGGCTGTCAAGGGGCCCCAGGCCCTCCTACCCACCTTCTCATGGTCTGCCATATGCTTCCCACTGCTGTTATACAATAATCCCACTCAGATACCCTTGCCCTGAGGATAATCAGGCTGGCCTGGGCTTGCCATCTTTGGTGAAAAGGGTGTGTCCTGCAGGGTTGGGGAACTTGCTTTCCCTTTGGGAGCTGGATGATGACCATGTTGACAGCTACCAATTATTGAGTGCCTTTTATGCTGTACTAAGTGTTTTATATATACTGTCATTCAAGTCCTCCCCTCAACTTTGTGAGATTGATATTGTCATTCTCATTTTATAGAAAAGGAAACTGAGGCCAGGAGAGTTGAAGTACCTTGCCCAGCTAATAGCTGGAAAGTAGCAGTGCCCTGGACTTGCGGCTGGCGACGACCCTTGTGATACCTGCCCTCACTCCACCCCACCCCTGGTGCTGGCAGCACAGAGTGTATTTGTCACCTCACTTCAGTGGCAGTGGAGGAGAGCAGAGGGAACAGTGTCCCCTCTGGGGTATGGTCCTGGGAGGCTCTGCAGGATATAAGAACCCCCTGTTATCACACTCACCACACACACACATGTAATTGTTCACTGCTGTATCCCTAGCTCCTAGCTTGCAACATGGTGGATGTTCAATAAATTTATTTATTTTATTATTATTTTTTTTTGCGGTATGTGGGCCTCTCACTGTTGTGGCCTCTCCCGTTGCGGAGCACAGGCGCCGGACATGCAGGCTCAGCGGCCATCGCTCATGGGCACAGCCGCTGCGCGGCATGTGGGATCTTCCCGGACCGGGGCACGAACCCGTGTCCCCTGCATAGGCAGGTGGACTCTCAACCACTGCGCCACCAGGGAAGCCCCAATAAATATATTTTAATTGAGTGAATGACTATATCCTGATTCTTGCCATTAAAATTATATCCTGATTACCTTGAAATGGTTCTGCAAACACATACACAAACACAATGATATAAATATGGCAAAATGTTAACTGTTGAATCTAGGTGATAGGTATCTGAGGTGCTCATTTTATCATTCTTTCTACTTTTCTGTTTGAAATTTTCCATAATGAAACTTATTTTTAGTTTAAAATTTCTATATCATTAAATTCCTATTATTATTTTCCTTGTAAATATACACTCATATAACTGCCTGATATTCTACTGTATTTAACCAATTCTCGCTGTTGGATATTTAACTGTTTTTTTTTTTTTCCTATTTCTATTTAACTGGATTATTTTTCTGTTTATTTTCCTATAAGTAATGTGATTAGCATTCTCATATATAAATTTGGGGCTGTATCTCTGATTCTTTCCCAATAATACCTTTCTAAATGTAGGATTACTGGGGAAAGAGATGGACATTTTTTTTTTTTTTTTTTTTTTTGGTTCGCGGGCCTCTCTCTGCTGTGGCCCCTCCCGTTGCAGACCACAGGCTCCGGACGCGCAGGCTCAGCGGCCATGGCTCACGGGCCCAGCCGCTCCGCGGCATGTGGGATCTTCCCAGACCCGGGCACGATCCCATGTCCCCTGCATCGGCAGGCGGACTCTCAACCACTGCGCCACCAGGGAAGCCCAGAGATGGACATTTTTTTCAGAATCCTTTTGACAAATTGCTTTCTAGAAATATTGCTTTAGTTTATACTCCTCAGAAGGATATGAGTCCCCAGAGTCTCACCGGTATTGTATGTTGTCTTTCTTTTTAAATGTCATTTGGTTAGTTTTTTTAACTAATAACTTGTCCTTGACTTGCACTCTTGGATTCTGACTGAGGCTAGGCAGCTTCCACTTGTGTTGTGGTCATTTGTCTATCTTCTGTGAACCGTCCAAGTGATAGCTCTACCCATTATCTGTCAGGCTGTTTTCTTATATATAAAATATCCTAGTCCTTCATTCTTGTTGCAAACATTTTATCCCAGATCATCAAATGCCTTTTAATGTTGTCATTGGTATGCTGTGTCATACGGAAGATCTCAGTGTTACGTGTGTGTGGTAGCAGCTGTCAGCTTTCTCGCTTATGACCCCAACCTCAGACCCCCTTCCCACCAGCCAACTCTGACTGCTAATAGGAAGCAAGAGGGTCCAGTGGGGGACTTCCCTGGTGGCGTAGTGATTAAGAATCCGCCTGCCAATGCAGGGGACACGGGTTCGAGTCCTAGTCCGGGAAGATCCCACATGCCGAGGAGCACCTAAGCCCGTGCACCACAAGTACTGAGCCCACGTGCCACAACTACTGAAGCCCATGTACCTAGAGCCTGTGCTCTGCAACAAGAGCTGCAGTGAGAAGCCGCGCACTGCAACAAAGAGTAGCCCCTGCTCACTGCAACTAGAGAAAGCCCGCATGCAGCAACAAAGACCCAGCGCAGCCAAAAATAAATTAATTAATTAATTAAAAAAAAAAAAGAGGGTCCAGTGGTTAAGAATAGGAGCTTTGGTGCCAGACACCTGGGATCAAATGCCAGTTCTGCCCCCTACTAAATACTCTGACCCTGGGCAAATGACTTAATCTCAGTGAGCCTCGGTTTCTAATCCATAAAATGGGGATGATGAGATCATCTGTCTCACAGTGTTGATGTAAGGAGCAATTGAGCTATCATTTGTAAAGTGTTTAGAATAGTTCCTGGTGTATAGTAAGTGCTGCATAAATTTGGTTTTTATTGTTACTTACTACAGTGAACCTGTGAGTCTTATCATTTGGAAAGGATTTTGTTTGCAAAGCTAATACCTCATCAGTGAAAGAGAAAGCTGGCTTTGTCAAGCAGGGGATGTGCCCTGTTACAAACAAACCTAGGTCTTTGTTACTTTAACTTGTAACCTCCATTTTCGTTTTGTTAGATGTTATTAAATTTAAACAAACTAACTACATGCCCAGATTATCACTGTTCATTTCTGTCAGCTCACCCCACTTGGCATGGGACATAGGCTTGTGACTGACGATCCCAAGAAAATGAACAGAAAAATAAAAACTGTAAATACTCTTCCTCTTCAGTTTAGCAGACGTTTGTTGCAGGGCTATGATAGGCCAGGTACCGTGGATTCCATGCTGAGTAAGATGTGGTCCCCAACCTGGAACCATCCCAGCCTGGTGAGGCTCCTATCTGGACTTGAAATCTGGAGCAGGGATACTTGGGACATATTCCAGGGGGTGGCAACGGGTGTCCAGTGACCTTGGCTAGGCTCTGACAACCTGGCTTCTCTCGACTGCTGCCTGTTTTCCCAGCCTGGTTCTCCAGCCTTTCCTGTGGACTTTGATAGCTTCCCTACTCCCCGTCTTTCCAACAGATCCCTTCTCCATTTATGAGAGCCAGAGTCCATTTCTGTAATTTGCAACCAGGAACTGATTCATACCTGTTACTAATTCCACTTCTAGAATTAATCCTAAGGAAATCCCTTCGTTCCAATCAACCTGCCAGCCCCCATAGACATCTTGTCTAGTCCCAACGGGGCCCTGGACCAGGAGTCAGGAGCCTGAGGTGTACTTGCCAGTGATGCCATCATTTTGCTTTGTCTCTCTGAGTGAGTGACTTACCTTCTCTGGGCCTCAGTTATAAATGGAGGAATGAGCCTGGATAACCTTAAAATGCTCCCTTCTCTGACGTTCTATGGCTTTTGAGGCTTTTTCACACTCCGGTCCCCAGAAGTGGCTAGGGTCCTCCCTAGCCTTGCTTCCTTCCCTGCTTTCAACCCCGCACTCTCACCTCCCCTCCCCTCCCCCGGGATCCTTGCCGTATTAACCCTAAACTCTTTTCTTTCTTGGACTGTGGGTCTCATTTTTCTTTAGCCCAAGAGCCCTCACAGTTCAGGCAAAAGCAGCTTTTACTTTCACCTTGAGTGCCTAACGCAGATACAGATTCTGAAGGTTGAGTGACTTAAGTATGACTTCAGATATCCATTGTAAAAACGCCGAGGAACATCTGATTTCTCTGTTCCTGCTCTAGCTGCCCCCTTCCTGGAAGTTCTCCACGGGGTTTTGGGGAGACCAGGACGTGGCCCTGGGAGCTGGCGTCTGGGGCAGACGGGGCTTCACCCCTGCAGCTGTGCGTGTAGGGGACCCAGGGACTCTCATTCCCAGAGAGGAGCTCCAGGCGGCCCCTGACCTAGTGGGGCTCCCTGAAAAGCCCACGACGCTGCGGCCCCAACGTCGGCACGTCGGCCGCCTGCAGGGAGGACGGGCTGTACTTTGTCTCGTCTGACCTGATCTATCTTCCTGTTTGCAGGCCATGGGGGATGTGAAGCTGGCTGCCTCGACACACGTTTCCAAAACCTCCCTCACTGTGGATCCCTCGAGAGTCGGCTCCATGCCCCTGACTGAGGCCCCTGCTTTCATTTTGCCCCCTCGGAACCTCTGCATCAAGGAAGGGGCCACCGCCAAGTTTGAAGGGAGGGTAAGGAGTGAGGCTGGGTGGGCGGCTTGCAGGGGATGTGGGGCAGGGTGGTTGCTTCTGCGCCAGCCTTCTCCTCGGCGGGCTGACCTGCCAGAAAGCCTGCTTTCCTTTTGGACTCACAAGTAAAGTGGAGATACGCCCACTGGCCCTATTTCTTTTGTTTATGGTTGACTTTGGGCCGTGCTGGAGAACTTGGGGGTGGGGAGGGACGCCGATGTTTTGCTATTAATGCAGGTCGTGTTCTGGGTTCGTGCACCTGATTCTAGGAGAAGAAGAGGGGGGCTGGTGGCAGGAAGTCTCAGATCTGACAATTGAGAACTAACTCTCACTTTTCTCTCACTTCCTACCTGGAAGGAGTGTTTGGTTAACTGACCCTCTCGTGTATCCACATGGTACATCCAGAGCAATGGGGTGGGAGCTAGGACCCCTTATCTCAGTTCTGTCACCTTTTGCTAATGGGTACTGGTCTCTTGCCCTTACTGGGCCTCCATTTCTTCCTCTGCAAGCAGGCAATGATAATTCCTCTTCCACCTTGTACTAGAAAGGAGAAGAGGAAGATGGGAAGAGTAGCTGTAAGAATATTGAGGTTATGCCCCCTTGGAGAGACTTTTAGTAAGCTGCTGGCTCAGGCCGCCAGGAAGTCAGATCATCAGCTTGTTGCAGAGATGCATGTGGAAGTCAGGGGTTTGCAAGTAATATTTGTCCTGGATTAAACACGGACGATCTCCCCCAGGAAATGCTTTAGCAGCTAGAAGGCTTTGATCCGAGCAGAAGACAGCTGAGGTGATGAGGTGATGAGGTTGTGCTATGAGTCTACAAGTTAAGAGCAGGGACCTGAAAGCTTGTGGAATGAAGGAGTCAAGAGCATCACTCTTCCTGGACGACACTGGGCCTTGCCTCTGTTTAAGTGGCACATTTGGCTGGAGTGTATTCAGGGGCCATGTGCTCTGCACAGGCCTGTGTAGTTAACTGTTTGCTGGTGGATCTGACGTTCCTTGTCATATGTTTTACTTGAAGAAGGGGAATGTTGGTGATGCTGCTGAGGGGTCTGTTTCTTCTCTCTGGGCTCTACCAGGATGAGGACTTTTTTCTGTTGCCCTGACTGTGGTCCCTCCATCCCCACATCCCCTCAGCTGGCAGGCAAGAAGCAACAGGAAGAGTTCCTGGGGATTTAGAAATAGGAGTGAAGTACTGATGCACACGACAACATGGATGAACACTGAAAACATGCTAAATGAGAGAAGCCAGACACAGCAGGCCACCTATTGAATGACTGCACGTATCTGAAATGTCCAGAACAGGCAAAAGTATAGCGACTAACAGTAGATGAGTGTGGTTGAGGGCTAGTGGGGAGGAGTGGGGAGTGACCGCTGAGCGATGCAGTGTTTCTTTTGGGGATGATGACTGTTCTGAAATTAGGTAGGGGTGGTGGTTGCACAACTTTGCGAATATGTTATAAAACACTGGACTTACACTTAAAAAATTCAAAGTGAACTTGTGAAAAACGGCTTAGCAAAACTGATCCACACCCGCCCTCCTGCCCTATTGCTTGTCAGAGATGAACTCCTCCCTCAAATTCAGAGAGTAAGAGATGACTTAGCTTCTGCAGATGAAGAGGCCTTGCTTCCTTTGCTGACTTTGGAGGTCATGAAGGAGCGGAGCGTTTGGGCTGTTTGCCCTGGAACATTTGTAGAATGAGCACTGGCCCAGGAGTCCACACACTGGAGATCTCTGTTGCTCAGTTATCCTCTAGTTGGCAGGTCAGACCTTCTCTGGACCTCAGTTTCCTTATCTGAGAAGAAATAACTAGTTGTTTCTATATTTTCTGGCCTGCAGGGATGTGAAAAGAAAGCGAGCTGAAGAAGAAAATGGTCAAAGCAGTTCATAAAGTCAAGAAGTGTAGTAATAACAGTATTTTTTTTTAATGAGGTGACGTTCATATACCTAAATTTAACTGTCTTAAACAATTCAATGGCGTTTCATGCATTCACAATGCTGACTGCAGTATTCTTAAAGTAGAGCATTCTCTATGTGAACATTTTATTTTACTTATATTGAGGAAATAGTTGACTTTATATATTACATGTGGGCTATAGGTCAAAGGGAATGTGTTCCTTAGAGGTCAGCCTTCGGAGCTCTGTTACCACTCACCAGCTTCCTGGAATTAACCCAGAACGGCACCTTGAGAGCATGCTGGTGTATAGTGGACACAGAAGGAAGACAATTCCAGAGAGATGTTAGGTGGAATGTCTGGCTCCATCTCAGAACTTGCAGAGAGAAACACAGAGGGAGGGGCTGTCTTAGAAAGCGCTCTGTAAGCTAGCGTGCTGTGAGTGTGTATTATCACTGAAGCAAAGGAACACCTTGCATCGGGGAAGGGCCACGTCAAGTGACTCCAGAATGAGGAATTTTTGTTTGGATACAGAGATGCAGATGAGCAGCGGGTGTTCCTGACCTGCCCCCCTCAGAGAAGGGAAGAGTAGGGTGGTGGTGACCTGCGTGACACGAGCTTAGAGCAGGAGTTTCTAGTTTTAAAAGACCAAGCGCCAAACGGTCATCCCCTGATCACAGCCAGGGGTTCTCTGCCTCTAGGGCATGTTAACCTGCTCTGCTGTGGCCACTTGACCTGTCCTGCAGCTGACCCCTCTGTCCAGGCCCTGGGACGCATCCTGTTGTAGAGGCTCATTCTGCACCAGCCGGTCCTGGTGTCAGTTTCACAGCGACCTCAGGACCTCAGCTCTCCAGTCACTGGGCTCTTGCAGAACCTCTTACAACTGAGCGACTTTTAAAATAAGCCTTCAAGCTACTTCTTAGGCCCAGGCTGGCACCCATCGCAGCCAGCAGAAACCCTTCTCTTCCTTGCAGCAGCCCTCAGGGCCTCTGTCTGCTTTCCTCCCCCCCCACGCCCCTCAAAAAGTTGCCACTACCAGCTCGAGCCCTAAAGCCTGGGTGTGGAGGGTCCTAGGATGTCCCAGCTTCTTCTGCAGAGGGCACGGGATCCTCCCATAACTGTAGAAACACAATGAGCCCCACAGATGGGAGGAAGTTATAAAGGTTTGTTTCCTACTGCCTTAATGAACTTACTGACTTAATGAACCCCTTCCTCCCCGCCTTCCTCTTTCTATCGAAAAGTCTTGGTGACCCTAAGACAGGACCACAGGTGCCCCTTGTGGTTCTTGTCTTTTTCTGAGAAGCTCCAAACTGTGAGATGTTCAGCTCTGTGGGTCTCAGTCCGTCACATCCTTTAGGGTTTTTCCACTTTGTGGCAGATACTTTGGACCAACGTGTAACCCACGACCAACCCTCTTTGCCCTTCCCTTTTCCATTCTAGAGGTCATTGCGAAGTTTTCCTTTGCAGCTAAGAGTTGTTCAGTGACACATTTGGCTGAAGTCAGCTAGTGTATTCCTAGGAAAGCATTTGCTTTTCTGATTAAAACAAAACAAGGGCTTCCCTGGTGGCACAGTGGTTGAGAGTCCGCCTGCTGATGCAGGGGACATGGGTTCGTGCCCCGGTCCGGGAAGATCCGATATGCTGTGGAGTGGCTGGGCCCGTGAGCCATGGCCGCTGGGCCTGCATGTCCAGAGCCTGTGCTCCGCAATGGGAGAGGCCACAACAGTGAGAGACCTGCGTACCGCAAAAAAAGAAACAAACCAAAAGTCACTGGTTCTCTCATATTCCACCCCTGCCCTGCTTCCTGCCTTGAATGCAGATTTGATGGCTGGTGCTCAGGCAGCCATGTTAAAACCATGAGGGAACAAGCCAGAATACAAAGGATTGGTTGGGATGGGCATAGGGGGTGGGGAGCTACAGCTGTGGAGGGAGCATAAAGACCAGCAGCTAAGAGACAGAAGTCCTAAGGCTTAGAGAGTTTCCTAGATAGGATCTTTGGCTGTGGTTGTTCACACAGGAAATTTTATAGAAAGTGTTCCTAACTGATAAACAACACCTAATGAGATGCATGTGGAGATATCGTCTCTTTAAATGAGGGGAGTAACAGGGGAGAAGACATAACACAGAGAAGGACTAAAAAACCCTTTCAGACCTTTACCAAATCTACCAACAGTGAGGGGAGTGCTTGAGTTGAATGTGGCCGTGCAGTTAAAGCATTCTAGAGGAATTTGTGCCTCCCTGGCTGTGGCCATCTGGCTTGAACCAACAGGGTCTAGGGTCTATGAGAGAGAGTCAACCATATGGTGCTAAGTGGTGATTTAATGTCATTACAGAAAACTACTATTTGATCGGGGTCTACTGATTAGGGCAAAGCTACCTACCCTGCCCCACCTTTTTTTTTTTTTTTTCCTCTGCCAGCTTAAGGAGATTATAGTTATCAGAACTCATACAACTTTGGATCTATGTCTCATCAGTACCACCTTTAGACCCAGGCAACCTGAGCCCACATTCTAGAAACCCCTGTTCCTTCATCTGGCTGCACCCTTGCCCAAGAGCAGGGGATCTCTCTGCTCAAGGGATATACCCAGTGGAGCCACACCATCTGCCATGTTCTGAGCACCCAGGACCCTGGAATTCTCTACCAAGGGGCCCTGAGCCCACTTCTAAGGCCTGGGTGGGCCTATTCCCATGAGAAGACTTACCTAGGCCTGAGTGGGATGGTCAAGGGGCAGCTGTTTGCTTGGGGGGATAAGAAGGTAGATGAAACTCAGACGTGGGGACCTGTTGTCCGCCCACGGGTATAGCAGGACCCTGACAGCATAGGATGGACTGTGCCACTGCCTCGTGAGTGTTGCTGGGCCCAGGGTGCTGGGGGCCTCCACGGACAGATAGCGGAGGCCCGCACATGTCAAGGGCTGACTGAAATGCGTCCAGCTGCTCTGTTGCCCCCGAGGGCGGCTAGAGTGCTGACGGGCTGCTTCCCCCAACATGGATTCAAGTGTGAAAGGAGCGAGATGGTAGGAAAAATACTAAAATTACTGGAGATTTCTTCCCTTCTGCCCTGGAATTCATTCTTATCAGAAAAAGCAAGCATAGTGATAGGCCCTGG